AGAAATTTTACAGAGAGCATGTGTCCACACTGTCACTAAATTCAAATGTGGTTTCAATACGCTGGAGGCTGGGAGTCTGAGAGTGTGTCAGTGAAAGAGAGATAGGAAAAAGAGTTAGGAATGAGTCGAGTAATATTGATTGCATATTCTGTTTGACTGTCTGCTCATCTGTGGGAACTGCTCGTCTTTATTTCTTAGTCACCCACATGAGTAGGATGTGTCATTCTTCTCTTTCTCTCTCTTATGTGAAAAGAAGCCTACAACTCAAGTTGTATGCGAATATCAGCAGCAATGGTTGTATCATCAAATGTTGTACAGTAAGGCAGGTGGTATCAACAATCAGCCAGACTTGCAAGACAAAAAACAAAAAAGTTCTGAGGGGGGTATAGTTTTAGTAGGAAAGACACTATATTTTCTCAGAGACAGAGCTCTACAATAGAATATTTGATAGTTGATGAAAATTTTATGGAAAATTTTTAAAGCAAATATCAAAATACAAATATTTGTTGGCAATTTGATTTGCTTCAACTTTTTTGTTTTACAGATATGAAGATTAAATATAATTGCTGAGCATTCTTTAGAAAGATCAAATTGTCACCATATCATATTTGATTAACATTGTTAATTTTTAAAATTATTTTCATACCTTCCTGATTTCAACATATAGAAAATAAATTTTTAAATAATTCTTAATATGAAAATTTTTTAAACAAATAAGACAACAGATTGAAATTAGAAACAAATGATTTTTAGCTCTTGTTTATAAAATTGTTGTTCTCTCTATATTAACCTAAATTCATATGAAAAAAAAAAACTCTTTGCTGCTTGGGCTAGAGAACTGAATTATAAATCATGAAGCAAATCATATATGATTAAAAAAAAAAAGCTTCTTTTTTTTATAAAATCTTATTAAAAAGTTGACAATTGATATTTTCATAAAAGTTTAACTGAATTATTTTCATTTATTAAAGATTGCAGGTTTGACAAAGAGATATCAAATAATGTGAATATTTGTATATAAAAGAAAGGAAAATGGTACAAGTGCCAGCAGAGAGCAAAAACTATAAGTTGCATTATAAAATGTACAGAGATGCCTTTGCAGTGATGCATTAATAGTTTTGTACACATTCACAGCACTAGCATATTTGTTCTAGTTAGGTCAGTAAAAAAATTTTCACAATAATGAGTCTGGCTGTTATTTAAACAAGTACATTTTTTTCTAATTCTGAGGACATAGGCAAAAAATACATTGACTCTGGTTCTATTAAATAAAACTGGTTCAAAAAGAAAAGTTAAATCAATAATTTTCCTTCTGCAATAAACAAATTCAGCTATATTATAAAACTTTAATATTCATTTTGTTTGTTTGCAAACCATACAAATTCTACATTATACTTTTTCTATATAAATATCAACCTAATAATGTAAAAAAGACATTTTTTTTTTTTTAAATAATTGAAGCAATAAAATAAGTATAAAACCCAACAAACAAACAAAAAAATGTGAAACAAAAATGCTAGTAACCACAAAAGCATGAAATCTGGGTTTTATTGTTAGAAAAAGGCTTTTTATCATTTCCAGTTGTTCTCTTAGATCTTTAGAGGTTAATGATTACAATTATTGTGTAAATGCTTTTGATGCCATAAAAAAAATAAACAATAAAGTTCTCAAATTATGTCAAAAAAAAAAAAAAATGGTACATAAAATGTCTCTTTTCTATTATATGAAACATTCTGCATACATTTACTATCATGCAAGACAAATGTGAAATGACCACACAAGGTATATTTCTAATTTTCAAATGAAAGATTTTAAGATACTTTCAAGTATTTTTTGCCCTCTCAAAACAAAAAGAATACAAAAAAAAAATCATTTAAAAAAGTAACAAATGCAGTAAATGCTAAATTATAGTTAGATATCTCTAGGTATTTTTAAGTCAATCAACATAAAATATGATGCAAAACTGGTAACATAAGCCACACACATACAAACAAAAAAAATATACAAAATAATCACCTTAAATTTTCAAGTCATTTCTTGTTAATTAAAACGTGCTTAATTTTTAAAAACAAAAATAAAATTTAAAATATCATTTTTATAAATTCAAATAAAAATTAAAAAAATTTTCTTCAGTCAACTTTAAAATCACTTTTTCAGATTTCTACATTTCACAATTGCTTATACCAACTTTCAATTTCATATTATTAGAAGTTCTATTTGAATATGTTTGATGCTGATATTCTATAAAAAAAAAAAAAATAAGTTTGTAAAATTGTAATCTAAACAGAAATAACATTTTTTATGATCCATTTTTTAAAGTATTGTGGTTGAAATAGTTTCATTTTTTCCACAAGAGGTTGATGTTTGAGCTAAAGTAAAAGCCCAAAAAACTTGGAATGTTGATTATCTGGATAGACAAGCCCTTCCCACTTGATAGGTTGATAACACAATCTTCTTTCTCCTGCTCCCACGATTTGGCTTTGACCCATACCTGGCTAAGTTTAGTGAAAATTTCAAGTAATTCTAAATAGTAATTTTCAAAATGATTTTATTAATATCACACAGAATATCCCAATATGCTCATTTCACATACTTTTCTTCTATGCTGAATAATCAAAGATTAGAAATAAAAAAACAAAAAGCCTTTTCTTTAGAGTAGAAACTGGAAATAAACAAAGAGATTAATGAATCCACAATGTTTTGAGAAACAACAAGAATTTAAGAAAGATATGAAGAGACAATATAGCAACACAAAAGAGCAACCAACATGGGTACAGATACATAAAAGCTATCAACAATATTTGCATGCATTCAAATACAGTAGAAGATGATCACTTTTGCCAGAATACAAAATATTTATCATTTTCTTGATAAAATGTTGTAAAATGAAATTTGTAAAAATGCTATCCAGTCATCTGTTTCATGACAGTTATTTCCATATTTATAACAATGATCAAGTAAGCACATGATTTTTATTAATTATTCAATGTATATTTAGATCATTCTCAATTTTTTTCTTAATTCCCAACAATTTTAAAAAATCTTCCAGCCTCCCAAAGGTTCCCAAAGATAGCATATTAATATGCATAAAGGACATGTAAAGTGAAAATTATTTCTTGTGAAAGATAATGATGATACTAAATTTAGCCTGATTTAACTGTAACTCTCTGCAAGTTTACATTCTACAAAAGTAATATTTGTCTGTGCATTTCCATATGCATGAAGGATTTGACAAATGCATGTGCAAAGAGAAAGATTTAAGAGAAATTAAGCTGAATGGGTCTAATAGGTAATTGTAATTATCTGAAAATACAGATAGTATTTACTCACAACATTTACATAATAAATTCAGCAAAAAGATTTTCTCATATTTCTAATGTTAGGCTAAATTTAAGTATATTTCTATCATCCTGATATAAAAAATTCCCATTTATATAATAATAAAATGATAACTTTGAAATGCATGAGTTGCTTTGACAAGTTTTGTGCATACACAATCAAAATTATGTACACAGCAAGCAAATCATTTTCAATTGTAATCTCAGAAAGAAAAAAAAAATATTAAACCCAGAAATTATCACTATTAATACAAACTATAATATGATCAAAGATAAAATAACACATTCAGCACCAAAGAATGTTAATTAATATCTTTGGCTACTTTACCTGTTAAGCACCAAAAATAAAAATAAAAACCACACATTACACATGGCGTTGAAGGTGTTGAGGAAGCACTAGTATGTGCACAATTTTGAAAATTATTTTACTATTCAAGGTCATGTTTAGAATATCATCTTTTGATATTTAAGATTAATCTTCATGTCTTCAAGTCATCACTTTTTATTTATTTTTCCCCTCAGAAGTACAAAACATATTTGGTTTAGAAGGTGATAAATCTTCACGTGTTTATTTCAAATTTTACAAGTTTATTTAGTAAGATCTTTCTTTCATTTTAATAGTTAACAATGGCTAAATATATTGCTTTTATCATATTTACATGGGTTTGGGACAGTTTTGACATAAAATAATTATACATTTCAATGAAATGTTCTTAAATAGAAAATTCATTTTATTATATACCAACATTGTTTTATTTCATATTTCAAATACAAATCTTATGCAATAGGCCAATAATAAGTTTTCTCACATTAAACTTATTTTCAAGCCAATAATAATAATAAATAAAAAAAGAGAGAGTGAGGTGATCTCCCCATCAAAATATTTCACTGCTTCCTATCAGCACAAAATAATGAGAATGATGGGATTAGCTGTTTTCTAAGGCAAAAATATTCGGTATTCATTGACCAAATAGTCATTGTTGCTGTCAGTTGAAATTTATAAAATCTTTCTCTCAATACAGTTTTGCAGAAAAATAGGTTTCTGAAGTCCACTAACTGTTATTGCTCTTTCTAATATTGATGGGGATTTCCTTTCCTAATCTTAACATATAATCTAACAGAAATCTCTCAGACCAGAATTTTTATTGAAAAAGAAAAAATATTTCAACTCAAAAGCTTTAATTATATACAAACCCCCGAAAAGGAAAAAGAAGTTAAATAATTTTTTTTTTTTTTAAATTTACTTTTCACTTTATTTCCCCATACCAGTGATAATTCCTTAACAGCTGATAGATTTTTTTTTTTTTTTTTTAATTAAAAATATTTTGGTGATTCCCAAAAGACCGGTCTGGCATGTGATTCATTTCTTCTTCCAACAAAAATTTAAAAAAAAAAAATTGATTGAAATATTTTTGTTTTAAGAAGTCAAAATATTCAATATTTTCATTTCTTGCAGCAGAAATAGGACAGCAACAGTAACAGTAACAAGAAAGCTATGCAGTCACCACTCATATAAACATAAAAGACATAGCTAGATATACCATGCATACATATACTATGTACACATATGTATGAAAGTCTATGAGTGTGCACATATACATATAGACACATGTACATGTATATAGCAGCACTGGTCAAGAAAACAGGCACAATATGCAATACCTGTATATTGTTCATGTCCTTGATTTTGAGCAAAATGTTGGTACCTCTGTTGGTGATGGTATCTTGTTGATGGATAAAAGTTGGCGTGCTGTGAATATTGAATATTTGGATACCTTGGGCTACTTTGCTGCGGACATCTACAGGTGAGGGAGAAAGAGAAAATTATATTCATACAAAGTGCTGAAATATAGCAAATTATAAAGTCAACAAATGAACCAAATTTCATGTAGTTGCTTTGTTTTTTTTTTTTTCTTTTCTTTTTTTCCACAGATTTTGGCATCCATACAAACTCACACACTGTATTTGGTGCAAGGGAGGAAGGTTAAATATTCCAATTTCAGTATATGGTAAAACTGCCTTTTGTATATTTTTTTAAATAACACTTTATTACACTTAAGATTTTTCGAAGAAACACATCAAAGAATCAAATGAAATGAACTTAAGAAAAAAAAAAAATACGCATTCAATGATATTTTTCCTGAAAAGCTAATGCTAGTTTTTAGTGCTAAAGAGGATAAAATGCAAAACAAGATTTATTTAATATAAAATTTAAAGATAGTAGCTATCAAACAATTTCACATTTGCCTCTAGTCTTTGAATTCAACATATTATGATCATTTGCCTTTTTGACATCAGAAATCCAAAGATTATTAACAATTTGTTGAAAAAATATTCCAATATGGTAAAATTCAAAGTTTGAATAACAGCAAAAATAAAATATAAAACTGAGGATTTTTTAGTCCAAATAACAAAAACTTTGCTCTTAAGATAAAAGTATCCAAGATTCTAATGTAAATGTTTACAAAAAAAAAAATATCCTCAATACTAAAACCAATATTTTTCAAAAAAGTGAAAAGAAATCTTCATCATTCATAAAAAGCAATATCCACAATTACCCATCAAATTTGAATGTATCATTAATGGGACACATGAAAAAAAAATGTTTATAATGAAAATTCATTAACACATTTTAATAGGACACAAGTTCCAAACACTCACGATTTTCTTTTAAAAAAAAATTATTAACAAAAATTTGTGACAGATTTTCAAGTACACATGTTTAGCAAACAGTTAAGTAAAGCTTAAAGAAGCTGCTGCATTTACTGAAAATCTATTTTGCATCATCTCTCTGGTTTATTAATGAGTTTACATATAATAAAAGATAGGCAAAACCAAAAATACTCTTATTAAATACTATTAATGGCTTAACAGTAAAATGTTTCAAGAACTTACAAAGGCATTATAACAATCCTTTTTTCTTACTGATGGTATTGTTATTAAAAGAATTATTTGTTATTATGTTATTTAATATTATTTAAATATTATAATATAATATTATATATTTTAATATTATAAATAAAAACAATATATATTGATACTGCAAAATACAGTCAAACCAAAACACAACACACCTGACCTGAAGATTGCATTCATGCATGAAACAGTGTGTGTGTGTCCCACATTTTATCCTAAAATTATATTTTTTTACAGAATATAGCAAGTTATTGGCAAAGTTTAACCTTTGTACACACAAAAAATACAATATGTCAAAAGGATGATTTTTTTTCTCTTGAGACTGTTATTACTCATACTCCTTCAGCAATGTTTGTTTTAAAAAGTTATTTTTAGAATTTTATTGGCAAAAATGTCACTCACTATTTACTTATTAAATTGTTTATTTACAAGATTACAAAAATATTTAAACTAACAACAATGCAATATTTATTCTTTCTCAATTTTAAAAAAGAAATAAATATGAAAAATATTTTTTATTCATAAATTTATAAAATGCCTGGGCTATAGAACAAGAAAATTTAAATAAATGTGATTTTTCCAGTTTTTTTTTTTATAATCTTGATCTAGGATCAAGAATGCCTAATAAATAGAACAACAGTCCTGAAACTCCAGCAATTATATTGCTACTGTTTTTTTAAGTCATTTCGAATTTTTCTAAAAAGTTACATGAAGCATGCCAAGAAAATTTGCAAATAGATTATTAATTATCAGTGATGACTAATGAAGAAATCTTAAATGAAGAATGGAGACTAAGCACTTAGATCAAAGCAATTGGTTAAGCCGAGAAATTGTGTTTGGAATGGTTAGCAAAACACTGGCTAATTGCCAATCAGTTTAAATGCCCATTACGTAAGCACCAATGTGGACTGAACATAAAGAATAATATTCATGGTCTCACTTAAAATCTAAAATTAAAAGAATATTTGGTTCACAGCAAGAGATGCTCAAATGATTTTAGTGAATTTATGTGGCAAGAACAAATGAAAGAAATGACTGAGAATGCATTTTTCTAAAATTTATAATTATAGTTACTTGTCATTATATTTAAATTTTCTTGTTCAGATATATTTTTATAAATTTAGGAATTAAAAAAGCTTTTTGTAAATTTATTTCTTTATGAGATGATAAATAATAAACATTACATTGAAGTTGGTTTACATATTCTTATAATCTTGTAGATATAAAATTATTCTTGTAAATAAACAATTTAATAAATTGTGTTTAATATTTTTGTTGTTAATTCTCAAGAACAAAGAAAATGTATAAATCGACTTACATATATTTTGCTTTTATTAAAATTCTAAAGATATCTTTTTAAAACAATAAACATTACTGAGGGAGCCAGGCCAGGTGAGTATACAGTAATAGTGGTATCAAGAGAAAGAAATATTTTTTTTGTTTTTTTTCTATGGGTACAAAGGTTAAACTTAGCCACTTATTAATTATTATTTATTTGAAATGTGTTTTCTTCAATGTCAGTTGCCTTATGTAAAGAGAATTAGCAAAATTACAATAGCAATCAATTCTCATGCCTACAGTTAAATAAAAGCAAAACACTATTATAAAGGAAGTGAATACTTTAACCATAACAGTAAAGCTGATACAAACTAATTTATACCAATTTCAGTGTTTAAAGATATAGTCCCTGTATGTTAACATCAATCTGGTTTGTGTTAAGAATAAAAATTATTTTTTTATATTTTGTCTTGTGAATATAATTAAGCAGAACTTTAAAAATACTTAATTAAACTTAGTATTAAACAATAAGATATCAACTGGAAAGGCGATCAAATTTAAAGGAATTGTATTTCAGGTTACTAAAGTTTTAAATTAATTTTAGAACTATCTAACATTTTTAGCATAAACAAAATTCTGATAAATCAAGCCATGGACAAAGTATAAAAATCACTGATACATTGTTAGAAATACCTTTAATCAAAAATCAAAATTAATAATACTTAAAATTGAAAGTGTAGCTTTTCCACAAACATACAAACTTAAATATCAAGTATATTACAGCTATTCAATTCCAAGAAGGTAAATCAGACATGTTTTATGGTAAGTTATATAAGAGAAATTTTAACTCAATAACTGAAGAAATAAATATTATAATAAAAAAAAAAAATATAAGATGTAAATATTGAATTTATAAGACTTCAACCTTTAACACTCTGTATTATTCACTATTTTCCTTTCCACTGCATTGTTTTTCAAAGCTCCTCCACTGCACTACTTAATTTCAGGCATAGTCATTTTCTGCTGCCATAGCAGGATATGACAACACAACTGCAAAATTTAAAAATGTTACCATTCATTCATCTGAGTCACTTACAGTGGCAAGATAAATTTTTTGCTTTGCAAATAAAATCAATTCCAGAATGTTAAAGGTTAAACTACAACAGAAGAGCTAAACATAGGCAATTGCCAAAGCAATATGTCTGAAAGCTTGTAATTTATGTCTTTGCAAACACATTATCAGGTAACAAAACTTATGATGCTATGTTTTGTCTGTCTTCACTGGTGGCATTGATGTGGCAAATCATTCCTCTAATGAGTCCTATCAATCCATTTAAATCCTCTGAATTTAACAGCCTGATGGAAATGATGCTGTATTATTTAACAGGTGTAGTCTTCTCTAACAAATATGGGCTTATATTTGAACTAAGATCTCAAAATTTTTAAGAGCCTACTTATACGCTAGTATTCAATGTAAATAAAAATAAAAAATAACACAAAATTATAAAGATGTAACCTTAGTGTTCTTGATGCCAGTTGCTAATAATTTTATGTGTAATCAAACAAATTTTCAACCAGATATAAACAATCTATTAATGTCAATACTCATCAGATAATAGATTTGGTAGTTTTTAGTAATACTTTTTAGTTAAAAAAAAATACTGACAACTGTAATAGAAAAGAATCATAGAAAACACAAAAAGTGACAAAATAAATCAACTCGAAAACAGAGATAACATCTAAATACAGCAACAAAGATATCTCTGAGGACCATAGAGAAAAGGTAGTGCTAAAATAAAATTCTTCTAAAGTTGTAAATATTTTTATTTTATCTTATTTTTACTTTTTTTTATCTAATTCCATCAATACTATTATCATTACGTCTTTGATCATAAACACCACTAGCATTATGAATTTGAGTGCTCAAAATTTTAAAAAAAAAAAATTATTTGAAACCTACAAAAGGAACTGTAATTTTAGAAAAGATTTTATCTGACATTAAAAATAACGTTTATAGTAATGAAAAATTACTATAAACATTATCTTTAGTGAGTACATGTGTTTTAGTTGCTATCCCTGTTTGTTTTTTGTTGTTTTTTTTTTGTAATTATTAAACAGAATAATTAATAGCAACCAGCCTAAATTGAGAACTCCTACTAATCAGGAAAAATAGTTTTTGAGCCAAAATGTGCCTCTACCAGTTCAGCCACAGATCCAGCCTAACAGGGAAGGGTTAGAATTACTTATTTAAGGAAGGCACATTTTTCTCATTCAGACTTCTGCAAATCTATCTCTGCTAAACATTTATAGTAAGAAATATTGTTGGATAGAAAAAAAATCCTTTCAAAAATGACTATTGTTTACATTTTGGGTACAAAACTGAAGCTAACAGAGATAGATTTATAGAAGTCCCAAAAAGAAAAACATGCCTTCCTTAAATACCTAATTCTAACCATGCCCTGTCAGGTTAGCTCAGTGGTAGAGAAAAAGTGGTTTCTCTGATAGAAAAAAATGGATGTGGGTTCGATTCCTGTCAGAGGCACAATCTTTGTTTAGTAGGGTTTCTCAGTTTAGGACAGTTGTTATTAATTTCACTGTTTAATAA